CCTGGCGTCCTCCCTCTGCATCTCAAGCCTGGACTCAGATTGATCACATCGCGATCAGCTACCGCTGGCGTGGTTGTGTACAAGACTGCCGCTCCTTTTGGAGTACCTATCTGGACTCTGACCGTGCCTTGGTCTGCGCCAATCTTGCCTTACTTTTCAGTGGACAACGAAGTGAACGCCATCAACGGATTGATGTTAGCAAGCTGGTTGCAACTTCTGTTGCAAGTAAGTATCGAACCGAGCTAGCCTCTAGGCTAGCTACCACTCCACCGAAAAGTATAGATGAGCATTGGTTGCAATTGCATGACGCCATGAAAATGGCGGGAACAGTCAGTTGTGGGTTTGCGAAACGTCCCGCTTTTAAGCACTGGGTTTCTTCTGGTTCCTTACAACTCATTGAAGCCCGTCGGTCTACTCCGGGTAACCGTGAGTTTGACCATAAACGAAGGATTTTACGTAAGGAAATCGGGCAAAGCTTGCGTAAGGACCGAGAAGCCTGGTGGTCGATGCGTGCTAATGAGCTGGAAGCAGCAGCTGCATCTGGTAACTACCGGAAGCTCTTCCAACTCATCCGAGCCACTGGCAGCAAGAAGTCTGGTGTGAGTGAAACAATCTGCGAGGATGATGGGATGCCAATCACTAACATCCATCGACGTCTTGGACGATGGGCAGAATTTTTCGAAGGGCAGTTCAACTGGCCTGCTGCTCCGGCAACATCGGTCAGACTGTCCTGCCCTCCATGGCCGGTGACGACTGATCCACCAAATGAGGAGGAAGTCCGCAAGGAACTCCAACTCTTGAAGCGTTACAAATCACCTGGCCCAGATGACTTACCTCCGGCTCTTTTTAAAGATGGTGGTGACTTTTTGACTAAGGAATTGACGACGTTGTTCACAAAGGTTTGGGAACTAGAGAGTGTGCCAACGTCATGGAATGAGTCGATAGTTGTCCCTATCTTTAAAAAGGGTTCACGTCGTTCCTGTAACAACTACCGGGGGATAAGTTTACTTCCGATTGCGTCCAAGCTATTGGCTTCCGTCATACTTCGTAGGTTGTTCAAAACCCGAGAAAGATTGACTCGCGAGGAGCAGGCTGGGTTTCGTTCTGGTCGAGGATGTATTGATCATATCTTCACCCTCCGCCAAATGTTAGAACACCGCCATACTTTTCAAAGGCCAACAATCGTAGTGTTTCTTGACATCAGGGCTGCCTTCGATTCGTTGGATAGGACTGTTCTCTGGGATTGTCTGTTGAAGAAGGGTGTGCCTGAGAAGTTTATTAACATCCTAAAAGCCCTGTATAAAAACACCTCAGGCAGAGTGAGGGCATACAACCACCTCTCTCCATTGTTCCATTCGAGCAGTGGGGTTAGGCAGGGTTGCCCAATCTCACCATTCCTCTTCAACTTTGCCATCGATGACATTCTGGAAACAGCTCTGATGGATGTAAGTAATGGTGGTGTGGATCTGTTGCCTGGAGAAAGACTTCTCGACCTTGAGTATGCGGACGATATTGTCTTACTGTGCGATAATGCCCAAGGCATGCAATCCGCACTTAATCAGTTGGCAATCAGTGTCCGTAGGTATGGTATGTGCTTTGCACCTTCGAAGTGCAAAGTACTTCTACAAGACTGGCAGGATTCTAATCCTGTACTCACCCTGGACGGTGAGCAGATAGACGTAGTTGAGAAGTTCGTGTATCTGGGTAGCTGCATAAGTGCTGGTGGGGGTGTGAGTGATGAGATCAATGCACGAATAGTGAAAGCCAGAGCGGCTTATGCCAATCTGGGCCACCTTTGGCGCCTTCGTGATGTTAGTCTGGCTGTAAAAGGCCGGATCTACAACGCGTCGGTGAGAGCAGTTTTGCTCTATGCTTGTGAAACCTGGCCTCTCCGAGTTGAGGACGTTAGACGACTCTCTGTGTTCGATCATCGCTGTCTCCGAAGGATTGCTGACATTCAGTGGCAACACCATGTGAGTAATGCAGAGGTTCGGCATCGTGTGTTCGGGCACAGAGATGATAACTCAATTGGTGTCACCATCTTGAAACACCGACTTCGGTGGCTTGGACATGTTCTCCGAATGTCGTCCCAGAGAATTCCACGTCGTGCATTATTTGCCGACTCTGGGACTGGTTGGAAGAAGCGGAGAGGTGGTCAGTGCATGACATGGTGTCGTGGCATGAAAGAAAGCTGCAAAGGACTGGCTTGTGTTGGTCCTTCACGACTCCCTGGTTGGGGTCCGAGAGATGGTGCTACACAGTGGCTAGAGACGTTATCAGATATGGCTCAGAATAGAAGCCAGTGGCGATCCTGCTGTAACCTTTTACTTTCTTCATAAAAAGTGGTTGTCTTCCTTAACTGAAAGATTTCTTCTGATTGTACCTCTTCGTCATTACTCTCCTTTTCTTTTGCGTTCCTTAGTTTTTTTTTTTCTTTCTACTTCTCTTCGAATTCCCGTTGTTTTGTGTGGCGCATATATATTGGCGCTCTCTTGTACCAATATTTATGTGTTCAAATAATAATAATAATAATAATAACCTCAATAATTGTCGGACGCTTAACAAAGACTCGTGAACTGCAAACACAAGAAAATCAGGCTGGCTTCAGACCTGGTCATGGTTGTATCGACTACATATTCACCATTTGTTAGGTTCTAGAACATAGTCATGATTATCGGCGTCCGACAATGTTAGATTTTCTTGACTTAAAGGCAATATTTGGTTCTGTAGATCGAGAGGTTCTGTGGCAATGTCTGTCGTTGAAAGGTGTACCTCAGAAGCAAATAAACCTTGTGAAGGCCCTTTAGTCGAATACTTCTAGTCGAGTCAGAGCTCATGGCGAACTGTCATCTGATTTTGCAACCTCAATTAGTGTTCAGTAAGCCTGTCCACTATCTCCATTTTCATTTAATGTTATTATAAACGTACTGCTGAAAATAACGTTCTCGTCGACTGAATTTCTGGGTAGTGATTTCCTCCCATGAGGTCCACTTATTGACTTAGAATACGCAGATGACACAGTCCTGTTTGGTGAAGACGCTGATAAAATGTAGAGTCTTTTAGTTGCATTGAGCAACAATGCCAGGATGTTTGGGATGCGTTTCTACTCCTCGAAATGCAAGTTGTTGCTTCTGGACTGGCCTGTGTCAACACCTGAACTGAGGATAGAGAGTGAAGTAGTCGAACGCGTTGACAACACTTATCTTGGAAATCTGATCAGCCCGAATGGGTTGATGTCTGACTAAATCCCAGCACGGATTCAGAAAGCTCGTTTGGCTTTTGCCAACTTTCATCACGTATGGCGAAGGCGAGATATCCGTCTAGCAATTAGGGTACGAGTATATTGCGCGGCAGTTCGTTCTGTTCTACTTTGCGGCTGCGAAACGTGGCTATTAAGAGTAGAAAATACTCAAGTTACTAGTATTTGAAAACAGATGGTATCGGTATTTACACTCTTTGTCTTCCCTTAAACCCTGAGATTAAAATAGCTTTATTTCTACGAACTAATCCTTTCGTCCTTATACACAATCTTTCTTTTATGTATTACTACCATTGAAGTAACTACTATGAATCTGGTGTTCGTCTTGTGCTAATGAGGTGTGGCAACTTGGACCCGATGCATGTATGTGCCTGGTCCTACGTTGTAGCTGACTAAAAATGTAAGGATATCTCTTTTTACACTGGGGCTAACGCTTCATATCAGTGCAACGATAATTTATGTTACGACTTCATACCAGAGTGCAATTTTGATGCATTATTTCTCAAGCCATATGTTTACAATTCTACAAACACCAGTTTATTATTTATTTATTTCAACACATAGATATTGGTACAAGGAGGCACCAAATACATATGCGCCACACATCTCATTTGATATGTTTGAGGGCTGTGATACTTCCCGGATGCCCAAACCGAAGCGGGTGGTTTCCTTAGGGGGCCACACCTGGAGCCTTCAACCTGAAGGTCTGACCCACGAGGCAGTGAAGCAATGTAAGGAGATGCAGTCCTATCGTAACCAGTGACCAATAATTGGTTCATTTGCCATTTGTTCCCTCAGGATACCAGAGCCCATGTGCACCATTGGTTTGGAATCAGGGTCTTCCAACTCCCCTAGGTGGACTCTCCATGTCCACCAACCCGGTTAAAGCGCCAGACATTCTCTTTTCGTCCTCTCAATTTCGTAAACAACACCCTCACCACGAGAAGCTAGTGAGTAGGAATTTACTGACAGAGGCTATATACACGTGGCCATATGAGAGCATTTTGAGAGGGAGAGCGGACTCTCCCCACTCTCGACCGTACCAGGGCATTTGGGGGCGAGTGAAAAAAGCAAACTTCTTGCATTTTGTTGTTCAATTCAACTAAATTGAATTCATTAAAAATTTGTCATACTTCGCTTGTCGATGGGTTGGTTCGACATAATCTTTATTAACCAGTGTAATCAAAACATTTGTTACACATACCCTGTTGACATAATTGTAGGTCTCAAAGCGTCAAGGTTAACTGGAATAAAAATCACATCAGTCATTGAATGTCAAACTAAAACTAATTGGAAGATGCAGACTTTCTTTTCGGGGAAACCTGAAGTAGCCTTGACTCAAAACCGGTTTCACTGGCTATCATTTGGACTCCTAGTTTTCATATTTTTAGTTTCCTCTCATTATGTGAATGTATATTGTGTCATCATGAACCGGTACATTTGCACTAGGTTCTACTTTGTTTAGAACCAGTTTCTTTATTATTGAATTGTCAAAGCTTCTTTAAACCGGTCATTTATCTGTTTCTTCTTATTACCACTCCTGTTTTCATGCTTTGTTTACGGAACCACATAAGTTATCTCTCATTGCACCCGATGTCTCAAGTTTTTAGTGGCAATGATATTTGGTAAAATTCCGATATGCTAGATAGTTTTCAGTATCATAACCGATGTAACAATAATTTGCAAAAGAATGCTTTGAAAATATTTGTATTTGCTTTCTCTAATTGTCTTGTTTCTGTAGTTATAGGATTGGTTCGTCGGTCATGCTACAATAGTACTCGCAGAAATATACTGTTGGATGACAAGACTAAATTGATATGTCAAGGGTTTACGGGGAAACAAGGAACTTTTCATTCTCAGCAAACTCTTGCTTATGGCACGAAACTTGTGGGTGGAGTTTCACCTGGTAAAGGAGGCAGTTCCCACCTTGGATTACCTGTTTTCAACACTGTAAACGAGGCTAAGGAAGCTACAGGTGCAACAGCCACTGTTATTTACGTGCCGCCACCTCATGCTGCCGCTGCTATCCATGAAGCTATTGATGCACAGATTCCTCTTATTGTCTGTATAACCGAAGGTATCCCACAACATGATATGATACGTGTACGAAAGCGTCTTTCTGAACAGGTAATGTAGTTTCATAATTTCAGTCAAACGTTATATTTTCAAGGACTATTGTAAAATGCATGTTTGTCTATAAAACAATGATAAGGCGTCTATGTCAGTACGCAATTTGAGACAAGGGAGCACTATTGTAAGAGGGAATAGTACAAGAAATTCTCTAAATAGATAGCAAATAAAACTGTCACCATTTATAATTCTGAGACATTCTACAGCATCTAACTAGAAACTCAAAAATAAATTGCTTTCCTGTTTTTGTTAATGACTTACATTTCCTCAGAAGTACACCTATTAGTTCCATTTAAGACATTTCTTCCAAAACGTTGTTTTCCCTACTACTACCACTACCAAAATAAAAATCTAGGTTTTATTTATCTGTGATGTTTTTATATGAGCGTATTCACGAAACACTTAAAGCTTGGTCCAAGTCATGTTAAACAAAATGCACTTCTCAGTGATTCGTCTTGATATTAATAAATAACAAACCTTTGCCTGCTAATAGAGTCACTTCTGTATAATGGAGCTTCGACAGAGTAATATAGTGACTCATATCAGAAATAGTCTATTTATGTGCCCTGTACTTTGGTGTCACCATTGCACTACCATACTACAGTGCCATCTTGTTTAAATGTATGTTCACTACTTACAGTGCACACTACATGTACTGCTTATAGAATTATATCTCTTAAAGTAATTAAGTACTTATTGTATATACATTTCCGACCAGTTGATGACGTTAGACGATCAACTTGCCGCCTCCCCCAGGCATATAAGAAATATCTCCAAAACTCTACTAATATCCACCAAATAAATTTTAGACGTTAGCTTGTTATTATTTGCTAATAAATGTCATACATATTTACTGTTTATCTCTTGATATGTTGTTGAAAACAGTTTCTTTTTTATACATTTCCCTCTTTGAACTTAACTTACCAACTTTTACACCTTATAATAATGCGAAACAGCTGGTTTCCTCGTAAATGTAATATTTGTTACCAATTAAAAGTGCATCATGTTTACTTCTTAAGAATCAGAAACAAACAGTCTAAACGCACCCGTATCGCTAAAAGGATATTGCAAGTTATCAATGCTTAAATAATATTAAACATCGTTTCTGTGATAGGGGTCGTCCTTATAACCAGTGTGTTGTTATTGTTAATGGTTCGCATTCATTCGGCTTAATACTTACACTACGCTAGTTTCTACATTCGGTTTAATATGTTTAGTTCACTCAGCATTCTCCAATTACGTTCCAAATACTTTTTGTGTATCATGTGTTTTTTTATTCATCTCTAGTCTGCCTCAAGATTAATTGGACCAAATTGTCCAGGAATAATAAAACCGGACGTATGCAAAATTGGTATTATGCCTGCACATATTCATAAACCAGGAACGGTAGGAATAGTATCCAGATCGGGGACATTAACTTACGAAGCTGTCTTTCAAACTACACAGGTATTTGACAAATTATCTAGTATATCCATTTATTTCAACGTTTGACAATTGCATAAGTTATTTACTAGATTACTCATTACTGTTCCTATGTCAGTCAACTTATACGTATTGGCCGGTGTAACTGAAAAAACGGATGAAAAGAGTATTCTCACGACCAGCTGTCGTTCTGTCTTCTCATTCGATATGAAAATGCCCAAGATCTGACTGTATCTGTATCCATGTGAGCATTTTAAGTTTTTGGCCTTCCGTATCTTAGCTTACTGAACCTAGAATAAACCAGGAGGCGTGACTTCTCTTCTAAAAACCTTCAATTCACTATCCGGGGTTTATTTTCTTCGTGACAGATGATTTTAATATCCTAGAATGTGCTAAGAAAATGTTAAAATTAGCATTAACTCTTATGACGAGCATGTGTTTTTGGATTGGAGATTTTATATTTTAAACCAAACTACTTACCAAATACAGGTTTACTCACTCCTCTGGGCCACAATCATGAAAGAGCTAATGATACTGTCCAGCTGCTCAAACTGATGTAAGTTGTCTCATCATTCTAAATGGGGAACTCCTGGCTCTTATATTGATGCTATAAGTCGTGATTATATATTAGCCAATGGTATATCACAACCATTTCCACATTATTTACATTTGATTCACGTACATTATCTAGATCTATTAAGTGACTCTATATTTCTTCACTTCAAAGTTTGTCATGCAACATTTACTACACATCAGCCTACCAGAAATTACCATATTTCTTTGTTTTCTCAAAACGCTTTAATGTAAGCAAATTGTGTTGAATAGGAATTCTAATAGGATGTCTAAAATTTAAGTAACTCATGGTTCCAATATATTCCAGCTATCTCACTAGTTAACAACTTGAAGCCTGGAATCATTTTGTGATTCAACAGCTCAAACAGTAATTTATCAAGCAGGATGAAATAAATTGTTATAGATATTAATTATGTTTTACTCTATGTAGACCTAATAATGTAACGTGTAAAAACAACAGGACGCAAATACAAAGAACTGATAGTTGTCTCAGCAAAGCCCAAGAAATGAAAAGGGCCCTCCAAAAGCTACATAACATACGGTGCTCTTAATGCAAATATTGTTAGACTAATAAATGAACAAACTCCGAATATAGCACTTCCGTCTTAGAAATTTCCCGAACAGAAATCCGTGACAATTTAAATGATTCAACAAGAATTATCAAATAGCCAAAGCAAATAGCAATACGAGACAAATAAAATGATTAGAACGAGAGCTCTTAATAGTTAGAATAAAATGACCTAAGGACATGTGATCGAATCTCATGATCGTCTAGGTCATACGTAAGGTAATGAAACAACCAATCACAAAGCAATGAGATGCGCGGAATAGTTTTGGAAATTAGATCGATGACTTACCAATGTAGAAAGACAAATGAAAAGAAGGGACAGGATATAACAATGAAATAGAAGATAGTCTGTGTAGAATGTAAGATGTGCATACAAGTGTTAATAGAGTCTACAGCATATTCAATGGCAAAATGAAACTGAGTTAAACTTGGACGAACACACTTTCGTTAGGTCCTACATCGATTGTGTCTAGATTGACCTTGTGAATCCTAAATCACGACATTAGGGTTTGTGTGAACACTGAAAGTATTAATCAAGTTCGTGTTGTTACAGAAGTCACCGAACAGAAACCAGTTATAGCCGTTAACGTTTTGTTTTGACTCGTAGATCTAATCCATAAGATAATGTTACTTCGGGATTCCCATTTATTCAATAGTTATCAATTTTAACGAGTCCGTAAACTATTCGTTTCGATAAATTGTTTAAGATCATGTGGTAGCACAGTACTGTTTTCCCAATATTACTGACTAGAAATCAGTAAACCCAACGCTGTACATCTCCATTCTACCTATAACATAATAGTAACCCCTGTTTTGTTTCATCATCGTTCCTTAGCTCGGTAGAATGAACTCAGACACAATACTAATATAATACAAATGTACTTTTATAGAAAAATAAGTCGTTTTTCCACTGGGGTTCTCTTTTTTTCAGTTACTTGATGTTACATATTTTTTATAGTCGTCACAGGCTAGGAATTCGAGAAGTATTATTCCATTTGTCACGTGTATCAGCTAATAGAAACTAGTGGTAATCAATTGTGACACTTATTCAAAATGCATCTGTTTATATGTAGTTCAAGATACCATTTCAAGTAACATATTATTATGAATCACCAAATTGTAGGTTGGTCTTGGTCAATCCCTGTGTATTGGAATCGGTGGCGATCCATTTAATGGAACAAACTTCACCGACTGTCTTGAGGTGTTTTTAAATGATCCTAATACAAAATCAATAATCCTGCTTGGCGAAATCGGTGGTGACTCAGAAGAACAAGCTGCCGAATTCTTAAAAGAGCATAATACTGTAAGTTTTTACGTTCAACTTCCTTCAGTGTTTCTGTGCATCTGTTAAGTTTCGATCTACAATAAGCACGGAATACATTAGATCAGAAGCTTCATAGCTCAACGTACACTGTAAGTTTGGTTCAGAAAACCTGTATTTCTTATCGAATGTAAAACTGTGCGTGACCAATCCTCGACATTTGAATGCAGAAAAAGAAAAAAAGGAGAGAAAACTTTGCATGAATACTGATAATGTACATTAAACGGAGGAAAACATTGTTACAAAACTTGTATAAGTATACTTGTCAAGTAGTAGTGTAGTAAACAGAACATGCGTGAGGACAATCGCATGTATTTAACACAAAATTACAGGACTTGTTAGTAAAATCTGACGATCATAAAGTAAATGCTTAATTTGCAAAATGTCCACCAGTTGTCTCAAAATGACTCGGACTTCATTGTTCTTGCATTTTCATACAAATTACATCCTGTTTCCATTCTTTACTGTTCGATCCTCTTGTCTCTCTGCTGCCAGACCTTCTGTTCACGGCTAACATCATATACTAGTTATGTCAATATAAGTAGCACACACCACAGTAGTAGTAGTAGTAGCCTAGGGAGATAAAAACTGCTGTGTACTCAAAGTGAGGCAATACACAATCAAGAGAAAATAAGTTTTGTTTGTACATTAATTAACTTATGAAAGAGAGGAATGTTTAAAAAAATATTAGGTCATTTTGGTGAAAAATTAGGAAGAATTGAGTTAAATTAAATTGATGACTTATTTTTCAAATAATGCAACGAGAAGAACTATGTGATATATTAGCACAATGCAATACAACCAATGATCTGATCACATCGAGGTCCACCAGATTAATTGAAGGATAAGAAAAAAACTATGTGAATCACACCATTCTGGATAATAATTCAACATTAACGGGGTAGGTTTAGTGTAAGTACTGGTTGTTCATGAGTACACGAACCGAGGTACTTTTGGATTCTCATATGGCTTGAGCCTCAACAAACCCAAGTATTCACCCTAGTCGGCTATCCAGAGCGGTGTGATTCGCATCTTTTTATGATTTTTGTTTTTCTCTTATCCTGCAATTTGTCTAGTCGACCTATATGCCCTCGGTAGTAATGTGTGACCAGATTATTATTCTTATTTCATTGTGCTAATATATCACATAATTTTGGAACCTCATCATCTTATTCCATTATCTAAATCTATCAAACGCACCAACTGTACTAAATTTGCTTCTTCGTCTTAGGGTAAATTGAATTAGGTTTGTTGTTTGGTTTTCAAACACTGACTTCTTCACATGCTTACTTCACTTTTATGTTGAATTAAATTACTTCGTACCCTTTAAAAGTAGAGAATATTCTTAGGTTACCGGTATTTGAACATGGTTGCCTTCGAAATATTGCTCGAATATGTTGGGACCATCCAGTTGGCAATGATAGGTTTGGATGCAGGGTACAAAGCAATGGTACCAAGTCTGTTGATGAGGTAGTAAAATCTCATCGAATGAGCTAACTGTGACTTGTACTGCGTATGATCAACCACCACCTACCTCGACGCGCTGTTGTAGGAGTAGGTTAAAAGAAATCTATGGGCAGCCAAATTAAAGGGTGTCATTATTCCACGCAGTTATTGACTGTTGGTCTGAACTGCATTCTTACTGGGGTTTTATTTAGAATAATGTTATCTCTACTCAGTAATTGCATTGTAATATATCTATAGAGAAGAGTACTAGAAAAATGTGCGTTATGTTAATAATCACAATGTTCATCAGGGGTATTTAACTCATCACACATTAATCACAGCTTGAAATGCTTTCCACAAATTGATTGTTCAGATTCCTATGAACCACTCCTGACCTCTCTTTTGTTTTGCTTTTTAGGGTCCAAACCGCAAACCAGTTGTATCTTTTATTGCCGGTGTTACAGCGCCACCTGGACGTCGTATGGGTCATGCTGGAGCTATCATTTCGTTAGGTAAAGGCGGTGCTAAAGAGAAAATGGCAGCTTTAGAAAGTGCAGGTGTTGTTGTCACACCTTCCCCAGCTCAAATAGGTAAAACTCTCTTGCAAGTAAGTGTTCGTACCCGTTCCATTACTTGATCTTTCAAGAGTCCTTCTTGTAAATTATCAAATCTAAGCTATAGAATAATTGTTAAATATTAACTAATTGGCTTTTTTAGAAGGAAAAAAAATTTCGTTCTCTTAGAAATTATAAAGGAATAGACTTAATAGAGCCTTTCTCATGTAGTCATGCCTCATTCCTAACTTTCCTTGGATGGACTTTATAAGAACTACTCAGAAGTAAAGACCATAGCTAAGAGTATTAGAACATTTCTGGAAATTTACTACAGCTTTTCTTACTGAGCATACCCTTTCCCATTATGTATCTATGTACATCTGTTCTACTGCTTCAGATAAGATGATTTTTGGAGATAGTCAACAGGAAACCCTGGATCCGGGTTTCGTGTTAATTGGCACTCGTCAGCAAGGTGTACCTGTAATCTTGAGGGAACTGGTGCGCCCTGACGGATTCGACCCCGTTTCACCTAGCTTCACAGAGACGTTACCATTGAGCTATCCGGGCCGCGACCGACCTCCTGTAAGACTGAGATGTAATCACACTTGATTGATCACTGGGCGGTGATCAATGTCATGTGTGTCAAGCCCTTCTTAATGCAGATAGCTCAGTGGTAACGTCTCTGAATGTGAAGCTGGGTGATGCGGGATCGAATCCGTCAGGGACCACCAGTTCCCTCAAGATTACAGGCACGCCTTGCTGACAAGTGCCAAGTATCACGAAACCTGGGTCCAGGGTTCCCTGTTGACTACCTCCAAACACCATCTTATCTCAACATAGTGCACGCAGTGTCGAGTCACCTAGACTGGTGGCCACACTTCAACTTGTTCGATAGCATTCAATCTGCATTAGGAAGGACTTGACACACATGACATTGATCATCACCCAGTGATCAATCAGTTGTGTTCTACTGGTTCATCACTTGTTGATATAATCCTGCTTATTTCAACTTCGTATTTAATTTATGATAAAACCAAATGTTCTTTTAAACCTACCATTCTGAATAAAATTCCACATCATTGTATTCTGACGTTTGGAACGTAACTACACTGAAATTCAACTGAGATATTTACCAAATTAACAAATTTATGCTATTACTAATTATTACTTTTTTATAGTTCTCAAACAACCCAAATATTATGTATGAATGTTTCTCCTGTAGTTTAACTCGTGTTGTTTGTACTTGCATTTCTTAATTTTGGATTTCAGTTCCTGATAGCACACTTGTACACTACTGAATCAAATAGTTTCATTCAATTCACAATTTCTCAGCCGACAAACTTTTCGATTTAACAACAAAATCCTAAACAAACTAATAAAAAAGTTATACTGAAACTGATAAGACAAAACCAATTTGCCATTCACGTTAATACAATTAGCAAAGATTTTTTTAAAATCAAATATAATTGTTGAAATTGACTTACACCAACCTTTTCCTCATTTGTCATGTCTTCTAATCAATTATGGTTGTTTGAGTCATAGCGATTTTCAAACTTCTTGTTTCTTTACTGTATAGTAAGTATAACTTCTAACAAAATAAGTCCATACAACTGCTCAACTAAATGATATATCCGTATGGGTCATTGAGTTTTTCTTTGTGTCATAATGCACGTGAACCCAGTCAGTCAATAGAAACAAAAAGCCTAGGATAAATTTGTTCTGGTCCAATTTGTCACAGATCCCACGATCATAAAATAACATGCATCTTATGATACTACTATCACCATCGGTTACCATGACAATACTTCTGTCGTTCCTACAACCACTCGATGATTATGTCCTTTCAAAAGAATTACCTACTTCTAACTGAGCAGTATCACTGACCTTCCATTTAAGTGTGGTAATTTCTTGGTTCCCTATTATTACTGACCATGTTTCTTCACAAATAATAGTTTACTCAATTGCTAAATTAAACTAGTTAACTCATATATTTTTTTAAAAAAATTATGGGAGATCGAACTACTCTCTTATTTCATTGATTTTTGTTCAAACACTATATTCAAACATCACCTTGTTCATTCTTACTAAATTTTTCACTTTGATGCTGACCGAACCCTGACATCTGTTGATCAATAATTAGAAAGCAAGAGTTAAGGAACATTATTTTCACTCTATAATGTAACTATCCTAATACAATACACTAATAATTATTATCCAAATATTTTTATAGCACTTTGATATAAGTGTGTATGTGTGTGTAACGCTTTCTAGTAATTACTTTCTTTAAATTTTGATTGTAGGCCATTGCAGATCTTCCAAACTCGTAAATAGACTTATTTATCGTCAAGTTTTCTCAAATATATCGAAGATTATTGCGCTTTATATTATTTGATTTTTCATCTTCTATACGTTGAGTATCTTATTTACATTGCTAGTTTTTTTTCTGTAATAAATTGTTTTCACTTGAATTCTTGTCCACATGTTTATGCGATTAAATATTCGACTCGATTCAGTATACCACCAATTCTTGTTAAGTCAATTTTGATAAATGAAAGAGTTGTGTCTTATTCCATAGAATTGTATCTTATATATGTGTTTTCATTTTTGTAACTTTCATCTCTTTTTGGTAGACATTAAAATAGAAGTAATGTTTTGTGCTGCTAGCTAACATTAAAAAATGATGTTATCAAAAACTGTTGGTTTTTTCAAGGTACAGCCCATCGATCGATATTACTAGTTGAGATTATTTCCTCAGTCATAGCACCACTATATATATATATATATATATATTCTTTTGATTAATATAGTCTCTAAAACCACATGGCTTTTCTGGTTCTTCTGAACAACTGCATCAAGACGATCTCCCAGATGTAAATCTATGCATAAGCTAGATTGGATAATCGGTAATCCGCTATACACGGACTAGATTTCATTATGTCAGATAACCGATTCACGACCAAAATAGAGAACTAGAGTAACGTTAGATAATAATGTATTCTACGCAGTTACAATCAGTCACTCTTAGCTAGTGTAGAGTAAAAATGAATAATATTTAATAGATAATAAACTGAGCGACTGTGTTTCCACACTTAGTGACCAATTTCGTTTAATTTCACTACAACACATGGATGTTTTTGTAATGACGTTCTTGTTGGATAGGATACTGCGCTAAATAGATCCTACGATTCCTAGCTCTGTTGGTCACACTTTACAAATGTCTTGTTTATGAATGACACTTAGGTCCAACTTCAATACAATAGACACGAGGGAATATAGGATTAGGAAGGATCATACTGTGTTATACGAAGAATTTTACTACAATAACACACAACTAGGAAACAAAATTCAAAAGGCCTGCGAAGTGAGATAAAAATTGAAGGAAGGGAATGAAGCAAGCAATCCTGTTACAGACAAACATTACTAAATACATACACTTATTAGAATTTCAAGTATAAGTTTAATAACGTACGACTGGGCTACTACATCTAGTACTTCTACTCGTTATGACTAGGGACAAAATTGTTACTGTATGACAAAACAAGGACCGATATTGCACGAGAAAACTTTAGTGTTTATTATGCACCAATCAAAAATCCTAAACTGATCAAATCGACATGTAAAGGTTAAAGAAAATCTTTACTTTTTGATGGGTTGATAGTTAGTATTGAACTTAGTTTGGTCTGGTATTTAGTTGCAACAGAAGCTGAAACCAATCTGCTTGAATCACAAATTTGTTGACTACTGAAACATTAGATAGAACTGGGGCGTATGAGTCTTGTACATCATCACGTCAACGGTAGCTGATTGCGATACGATTAATCTTAGTCCAGACTTGAGCTGTAGATAGAGGTCTCCAGGTAGTCTGTGCCAATAGTTAATGCTAGTGAAAAACAGGCTGTAGCCTGCGCAATGTTACAGTAGACGGTCACCGTTATCCGACCTGTGATCAACAAATCCCCATTAGTCACACAAATGACCCCCAAACAGTGCTTTCATGTCTCCAACTAGTACTGCGATATCCGTCCAATGCATTTTCTGTAGAAGAACATTTAACTGGTAGTGTGGTGTGAGCTACTTATATTTACGTAAGTACTATGTAGCGATAGTCAGGAATTGAATGTATTTCAGAAGATCGAGAAGGAATGAACGGAAACGGAAGGCAATTTGTGTGGAATCTGAGACGATGGATTGGTATTGCAAATTATTTACTCTGTGGTTCTCAGATTTTAGTGAGATATTCTGTAATTTCGTGTTCAACTACATTCGGTTGTCCCCACTCGTGTTCTTGTTCACTACAGTAATAAAACCCATCCTTGCTCACATCTGTGCTGAAATCTCGGACCGTAGGAAGAGATGTCGTTCGTCACACCGATTTCTCATTTTGATTGAGCTTTCTAATCTAATAACAAATAACTGACTGTTAATGAGGAACCAATTGATAGTGCTGCCTCAACTTTAGCGCCTAGTCCGACATCAACACTAGCAAAACCACATGCCATAGGTTCCCCAGACAAACATTAATCATTCACGTTTAACTGAAAGCAAAACTGTGGTAAAGCCTTATCCTAAGAACGATTTGTAAGCAGAGTAGAAATATATTGAAGTTAATTAATAAATAAATTTTATTTATTATTAACTAACTGAATACAATTGCAAATTCATAACATACCGTTTCAAATTTATATGCATAGGTGAACAATCAAAACGAGAGAAAAAAACTTAACAGGTTATCTATTCATGTCTCAATATTCAATGAAAATGCGTTTCCCTATTAATTTAGTGAGTACTGCGTATAAGCACATGATTTTCGCTGACTTCATTTCAATTACTTGAAGCTATCCATATATGAATTCTACGGATACATCACTGTAGCGAAAACGACTTGTCCAATGAAAAGAATATGGTGAAAGTGAGAGCTTGGAATGAAATACCTAGTAATAATTATGCACTCACCTATTAAATGAACGAAAAAACAGCCAACAGTGCTCGGGACCGCACACATTTTGTGAAACAAACGAGCTAAAAATTTACGGACACGTATCTTATCTCAATGAAAAATGAGACGACTTTAGGTAATGATAGCTAGACAAGGTAAAAGAAGCCGAAATATTTCAAGATTAGTCTAGTGTAGTTCTCATGCACGAATTTGTTTGCCTTTACAATAAATTTATTGTAAATCATTATGCATGCATGTTAATCTGTGAGTTTAATATTGGGTTTTAATGTAGACTTGGAATTCAGCTGACTCGAAGAAACATTCCTTAAAGTTATTCTCTTACCATAACACAATGTAACCACATGAAATAAATCACAAGACTTCACGTTGCTTGTAAAGGTATTTAATACGAACGAGAAATCATGCTGCCACGATAATAAAAACAGCTATTTTACTTTTTAACAAAAGTATACACTTTGACAGTTTGTTAGAAAAATGCATAATCATACTACCCAGCTTTGTTCATGGAATCGAATTATTATTATTATTATTATTATTATTAGCTTTATTCAATATTATAATTTTGGTACAATATAGAATTCTCAGCGCAAAGTATTTCAACAAGTTTCCGTTTCTTTCTTCTTGGTCGGTCCTGGCGATAAATATTGAGGAATCGCCAGTTAGATGTTAGCACTTCAGTGAATGAACAACTGAATAACGTACATTCTTTTCGTTGTACATTGCCAGCAACCATATTGTCTCTTATTGAGTTTTCTGTAACTTTGACAACGAAAGGTTGTACACTTTTCAGAAACGCAGCAGAATAGGTTATGCGATTAATAAACATAATGATATATTAAAACAAACAACAATAGATAACTTGTTGAAATATCTAGATGGCAGGAACAGGTAGCCCAGATGCTCAAGCAGGCCGCCCTGAATAAAGAAATGTTGAGCTCAAAAATACCTTTGACTGTAGCACGTAACATCTCTCTGAACCAATGATTCAATGACAGAAAACCGAATATCTACATCACTGTAGTATATCTTGACGGTAGCGGGCAAAAAGCCAGGTAGTAAATATGAAAAAGTCAGAGAAAACATTAATTCAAGTAACTTTATTATCACACCGACATTGCATATGATTAGTAAATTGAACTTATCGATGTTCAATAAGAAAAAAAACTTTGTTCATGTGACCCACTAACTAATGAGTAGAAAATAAGGTCATTAATTTTACTTATCTGAAAGTACGTCTTCATTTATAAAATTTGTAGGAAGACGATGTTTCTAGCAAAACAAGGCAGTTTATATTTAAAAATACTCAGAAAAATTGAGGATTCATTCTACCCACTTCTAATCACCACTTTGCATCAGTTGTGATAAATTTAAGATGGCTGGGAACTGTCAGGAAGAATTTAAATAATAGTACCAATGTCCGAACTTTGAGTAATATTGGGGAGCGAATAGAAACTGTTATTTTCAAGCTTATCAACAGAGTCCTTACATATACTACGGCGAAATCATCATGATGTCTTACATTTTTTCAGATAGCCAGGATCACTGACTCAAGGTTTTCATTGATCGAATGTGTTACTTCCTCAATTCATGTCCATATATCGATTAGGAAATTTTACCATAGTAAATTAGGCCATGTTTTAACCGATCTACTGATTGTTTGGCAATACAATACTGGACAATCAGTAAGTTGAAGTAGGATGAATTCAAAAAGTGAACATGTATAAACCTGTAGAGCCTCATTTCATATATACTTGAACATTTTTTAAGCACTTAAGGGTTGCTAAATCATATCGACTACATTAAGTTTCATTTCGTGTGTTTAAAAATTGAATGGCTTATTGATGAATACTATTTTTGTTTATTAGATCGATGGAATATGTATTTGATTTTAAAACAAAAGTCTTTAAATACAGTGCACTATTAATAAAGCACCAATGATTGTAGAGATTAATCAAATGAAACAAGCCTAACCCAATACTATAATCATCCCGGGACGGTTAGGAAAAATAAACTAATGAACAACTGGAAAAGATAATCTTACACTGATAAGGATAGATATAAGTAATGGCGACCGATCTATAAATTGTAATGTCAATACTAACTAGTCTTAGTGATGGATAATTTATCAGTTTGTATAATAAAAACCTATCTATATTAGGTGTTCAAAAATACTAGTTTATCTTTGTTGTGACTCAAAATAATCCGAATTTCCTTTTTCTATAAAAAGATCACCTATAACAGAAAAAAGTGAACACGTGACACGGACAGCTTTTTTGTAATATAAAGGTCTTTAATATAAACGACAAAAGCGAATTTGGAGCAATGTTATTTACTTTATTGTGTGAAAGCAACGTACTAAGTAGTTACCCAAACATCTTATTACAGAGCAGGATGTCAGTTTAGTGAATAGTAAATAAATAGTGGTTGAACCCAAGACATTTATTCGAAAAAACCAGTTAAAATCTAAGAGATAACCTGATATATGGACAGACTAAACAATAATTAATGTTGATACAAATTATTCGCACATAAATTCTGATGAGCAATGTTTGCTGCAATAGAACGAAAGGAATTTAGATGCCCACAAACTAAAACGTGGAATTAGTCCATGAAGTCATTGTTTGTCGGTCTGAGCTGATGGTAGGCATAGATTACTAGGTTAGGTCGGGGCAATAACCGCGATTGGGAATTACAAACCATGGGTAACATGTTTCATAATCGATCACGATGGCACATATGAATTCATTCTTCGTCTTCTCTATGATCTAGTTTTAGAACTATTTTTTAAGGTTTATTCTTCGAATAAATCCTTTCTTCCATAATAATATTCTCTATACAAAATCCTCTTTACCATCACTGGTAATACTACAACTCCTAACACTCTGGTATTTATCATGATAATTTCATCTCGTTGTGCTGATGCAGCGTAGTGACTTGAACTGAGGCAGATATACTTCAATTTCTGTGTTGCTTATGTTCAACTGACTTCGGTTTGGAAGCCGCCCAATATCAGTGACTCTTATAATAAGTATGATTCAAATCCCAGTACAATAACTTGTACTTAGTAATTAAACCGTGTTAACAGCGATTGTTAAGTCTTTTGTAAGAAATACTACATACCTAATGCCTAATTTATTCGGAAGTAACTAATCCAACCTTGTTATTGATATCTACACTACAAAAGACAAATAACTTCACTAGTGATACGATGAAAATGACTACCAATTTCATAGAGCTACTTAAAGACAGATGATGGGTTACAAGGACACCAGTTTACTTTAAGACATTTTTCTTAAATACAGATTGCACAGTAAATTCTGTTAACATAAATTTTAAGTATTCAGATCATAAAACAGCTAATCAAGATTTAACTTGGGCATTGAAGGCACTACGTGGTAATAAAGTAACTAGGTAAGTTATACGTCTTACCATCATTTACATGAACCAGTGGTACATCAGAATTTTTAGTAAGTTTACTAATCTAGTAGTGGTCGATTAAATATACCTTGGAAAGATACCCATAAATTTACTTATTAGAAAATGTAAAAACGAACTATCTCATAAATAGAATATGTATATTCGAAAAGTAATGTAAAGGAACAAGATTCGACTTTTCATAGAATGATAGGGAAAATGTTGATTTGTATTACCTTGAAATAAAATTCTTTACTAATATTAAGTAAATCCATGAGAACGTATATAATATATCACTCAATTAACAATGCCTTTTAACTTCTCTTATATGAAGTTGTGTTTCAGGTAGATTACAGTGTATATGACTAGTTTATTGAAGTCTGTTTGGTTTGGTTTACAAATAACTATGAAATAAAAAATTGACGACTATTTGCTGTAATAGCCTTGATATGAAACTAGTTGTTTATTAGTTAACCAACAAATAACTAACTGACAAGTCAAAATAAAACACAACACTAACTAATTTGAACTGAATCATTGTGTGAATGTTTAACGTTAAAATGTAAAGTACAAAAAATAGCATAAAATAATGAAAATAAATCACAGTGGATGAAATAACTACTGGTTAATTTATTTAAAAAGCAGGTAATGACAGAGGTTGATTTCTCACAAGGATTGCTTTAACTTCAGAATGACGGAAGGGAGGTCCAGAACAATCGATCAGTACGACATGCCCAACAATATACACATTATCATATAAGTTTCCCAAAAACTCATCCGACGTTGTGGTTGCCACTTGTCTTGTATTGCGAATAAATTCACGTTTAGACATTTTATTTTTGATGGATGGGCTCCAGAGATCAACGGATAACATGATCATTGAAAAGCACAGTAAATAGATCTCATCTAAAATGATCAAACCATTTGTGATTTATTAAATAACCTCAGAAGTATTTTCATAAAATAATATTTGCTCCATAATGTTAACATTTACAGATCTAGCTACGACTACCTTCAAGTTGCTAGATGTATCATTAATAAATTTAAGGTAGAAAGGCGCCGTAAATCTTAACCATGACGTGAACAGGAGTGATTACATTTATTTACGTTACGCAACTTACTAACATTTTAATAAAACTACACAAAAGTATTGCTATGTGGTCCTATTTAATTAGTCTAACTCATTTGCTAAATATAGGCTTATGTAATCCGCTCTGAGCAAGACTGTTTATGAGAGCTAGCTATAATATTTGGTTCCCTGACCCGAATTAGATACGGAAGGATTCGAGCATACAATCTATTGATTGAAAATTAAGTTCACTAACTAAAGAGCCATTGCTAAGATTCACAATCTGTTAATGGTTATTCTGAGCTGAAACTATATTTGCTAAGGAACAATATAAGTGCGAAGTATCTTAAGAGAATGTACGTATCAATATTAACATAATTTTGAAAACGTAATATTTTGATAGAAATACTGGATCCTTAATAGCTTCTTAGTTCAGAATCACGAGGGCAACCTCAATACATAAAGGATTAACTCAAGTCCAATAATGAATGTGCATTGTTCTAAGTTGTCACACCACTTAGTCTTAGTTACAAACACTATTAACGTGGTTGCAAAGGAACCATTTGTAAAACATTACCAAGTAAAATGGAACAATCTTTCTACACAAAAACATAAAGGCGACGGCAGCCAACAAATGTTTCCCAACTTATATTAATCACCGACAAAAAGTCACATTGCAGTGGTATTACCAAAGTGTATTCCCTCCTACTATAAACAATTAAGTTTCTACTCTAAATCTTAAACACATAAGAAGTACCTCAATTAATCCTGATTTATGAATCGGATTAAGTTACTGACTTTATAACACTACCTTGGTTACAATACATCTGGGTGACGATGAAAGAATAATTGATCCTAAACTGCAGTATAATTACGGTACTTTCTGTTAGCAGGGAGAAAAGGAATTTAAACATAGATAATGTTGATGCTATATTTTTGTGATGTATGTGGTCACTTTCTCTATGGCAAAAATTTTAACGGAAGCGATATGTTACCGACATTTCGTTGACCACAAAGCAAACAAAAACACTGAAACTCTGAAATACGTAAACTAGCCAATGTCCTTAAACCTTATTGTCAAACTGTGATTAGATATAGATCATTTGTTTTGTCAAATTACCCTTAGGAATTAAGTAACAGGTTCCAATCATCCCCATATTTTTCTGTATTCCACGTCAATCAGATTATCAGGTAGTCAGTCGATAAAACCAGTAACCGCTGAGTTTAACCGTGGTGGCAAATGCAGAAACTACCTAGTTGAAATCCTCGAGGTAACTAACATCACTGGGTGGATAATGCGGATTAGAATTGGTGACAAGGGTAAAGATTAATTCACTACTTATTTTCCTCAAGATTTTGAGTTCTAATAGTACTCCATTTCTTCGCGAATCTTAATCTTTTCCATTGCCAGAACTATTCAAGTCATTTCGACGCATTTGCTGTTTATCTTCTTAACTTTCACTTATCGTACTAATTTGGCATATTAACATTAATTGATGTACATTTGTCCCAGGGTCCATGTTAATGATGACCAGTAACATCATGTTTCTGGACAACACCAAATTTCGGCACCGTCGTCATCGAAATGCTACCTGGAGACCTTTGTCTACAACTCAAGTCTGGACTTAGATTAATCGTATCGCAATCAGCTACCGTTGACGTGCCCATGTACAAGACTATTGTTTCCTTTGGATTACTTATTTGAACTCTGATCATACACTCATATGCCCCAGTTCTATCTTATGCTTTAGTAATCAACAAATTTGTGTTTCAAACAGATTAACTTAAGCAGATTGGTTTCGGCTTCTGTTGTAACTAAATATCAGATCAAACTAGGTTCAATGCTAGCTATCAACAAACCTAAAAATATAGATGTACATTGGCTGCATTTGCATGGTGCCACGAAGATGGAGAGTAAAGTCGCTTGCGACTCCTCGGAACCTCCTGCTTATAAACACTGGGTTTCTCCAGGCTTCCTACAATTAATTGAGGCATGCTAGTCTACTCCGGCTAACCGAGAGTTTGACCATAAACGTAGATTCTTACGTAAAAAGATTGTGAAGAGCTCACGTAAGGATCGAATGTTCTAACTATTTGGAACCAGCAGCCACATTTAATAACTGCTGGAAGCGCTTTTAGCTCATCCGAGCCGCTGGCAGTTGGGAGTCTGGTGTGAGTAAAACAATCTGTGAAGCTGATGGGAGACTAATCAACAGCATCCAAAGACGACTTTGACGATGAACAGTGTTCTTCGAAGGACGACTCAGATGGTCTGTCACCTCAGCTGCATCGATTAAACGTTCCCTCAACCCACGACCGGTGATGACTGGTCCACACGACGAACCGGAAATCCGAAAGGAACCCCAAATTCTGAGGCGCTTCAAATCACCAGGGTTATGACTTAACCAAGGTTATTTTTCGAGGTGGTAGAGAACTTCTGGTCAGGGGACCGATTGGGTTGTTTGGAAAGGTTTGGGAATCAGTGTTTCAGCATACTAAAAGACAGCGACAGTCATCCTTGTTTCCCCAAACCGTTTATGTGATCTTTGCAACAACTATCGGGAGTGTCTGATTTCAATCGCTTTCATAGTACTGGCTTCCGTTTCATTTCATAAGTTGTTTAAAATACGCGAAAGACCGGCTCATGAGGAGCAGGTTAGTTTTTGTTCTGGTTGAGAATGTACTGACCATATCTTCACCCTCCATTAAATGTTAAGAAACTGCCATACTTCGTCTAGACCAACAGTCGTTGTCTTTGTTGATATTGCGTTCGCTTCCGACTTGTTGGACAGAACTGTTGTTTGGGATTGTCTGTTGAATAAGGGTATAACTGGCAAGCTTACTAACATCTTGAAGGATCCATACACAAACACATGAGGACAGAAGACAAAAAACAACTTTTCACTACTGTTTTACTCGAGCAGTGGGGGGAGTTAGGAAGGGTTGTGCAATCTCACCATTCCGCTTCAATTTTGCCAATGATGACATTCTGAAGACAGATATGGAATTAGGCAGTGAAGTTGTGGATCTGTTGCCTGCAGAGGGATTTCTATTCTGAATATATGTGGATGATATTGTCTTGTTTTGTGATGATACTCAAGCTTTGCTATTAATACTTAACCAGTTGGAAATTACTGTTTGTAGGTATAGCATATAGTCCCTGGTAGGTTCCCATAATTGTAAAACATCAGATGCATCCCTGTTTGTGAAACCTCGTTGTTGACAGTAGTTGTAACACGTATCATAATACGAGACCATTTATTCTGATGAACGTGTAACGATATGATTGTCATTTCTCTGCATATTTTGTACATTGCACTGCTTTGACTGTTTTCCCTACTTATTTGGCTACTCTTTACTGTCGATAATATTTTAGCTTTTAATTTTCATGTTGATTTTTTCACTCACTACTTCGGTGCAATTAAGTTTGGTTGCCATGAGTGATAAGTACATGTTCCAAATCGTAGAATGACTAGCCCCGTTCAACTTCTCTAACAATATTAGTTACCCACTGAGGTATATCACCAAGTAAGATATTTTTATTTTCAGGCGGGCGGTGAGGTTGCTGTACATATGGTCATTACTGTTGAACGAAATCCCCTACTTTGCATCTTATCAACGTTATCTCCTTATTATGGTACCTAGCTAAACCAGGATGTGAACTGTATGAGTAAAATTCTAGACTATTTTCCAAGTCATCAATCGACAATAACATATTCCGTGTTTTATCTAAATATAATGTTTGATATGTACTAGAGGTTAGTGCGAAAATCGCTTCATAAACAATACCTATAAACTCAAAGTTGTTTTATGAGCCATTTTACCATCATTGCCTCACTAAAAAAGCCTGACAGTCTATCTGCGAAGCATATGATAACGTTACTGAAAAACCTTGATTCATAATTGCCCAAGTCATACGCGTCAACTGAATCAGAAAGCTAATGTTCTCCAGAAATTACCTTACACAAATTTATTGTGTCAAAAACGGGATATTCACAATTTTTCATGAATAATAAACAAACAATGTAATGTATAAACGACAAACTCTAACACATACCACGTGTGATCCCAAGATCTGGATTGCATTGAGTAAATCTTTCGGAAAACAGACCGACCAACAGGTGAATGAAAGCTGACGCGCTAGGTTCTGATGATTGTACTGGCAGTTCAGTAAAAAGACCTCTTAACGCATTTGGTAATGAATAGTTCCGGAAATCTTTTAAATTCACCAGTCCGCGTAGAACCTGGGGCCTAAGCCTGTGTTATCCTGAAAGTAAATCATACCTCGTTTCCAGATATCGACGCTTCTGGAATGGATCTAATCCGGAAGCATAGTGGAAAAAGTTAACAAGATCATCGGTATTATCGTCAACAAGACGATGTCTGAAGATGTACCCCATACCCTGAAAAATGCTCGTGTAAGTCGAACTTACTTCAAAGGCGTCTGCGTTAAATGTCAAACGCGCTTCATCTAGCTTAAGGTACAATCGACGGAATGACGGCTCAGATTGAAGTACGCCATTCTTGTACGCCGAGCAAAATGGCCACGAAGCTTTGCACAAACTGAAAATTACCTTATGAGTAAAAAATACCTCTTCCACAACACCTCATCGTAAGCAAGATCATACCAAACACAAGATGCTAGATATAGATCAGTGGCATTGAGCCTCGACAATATATTGAGAGCAAGCTCAGCTGGTAAGTGATGTAAGTCAACAAATTCCGACGAGAGCTGAGGAGTCTCAAGACAAACCCCATCCTCTAAAAATCTTAAAATCCAAATCTGGATTACTACTTTGGTTTGAATAGCTATGCTGCAGCGCTAGAACAAGGCCCATAACCCGGATCAGGACGGCTCATCAGGATCAGAATAGGCGCCTTCAACTCTTAATACCAAAAATCCCGCTTGTGAAAAATTTGACTTAATTATATTTAGTAACTTATCGATAACCTACATTAAAATGGATGGGTAAATGCTAAAATCTCACTTTGAAGAAACAGTTGAAAGCTTGTGAGGAAGTGAAACTCTACGTGCAAATTTTCCTAATTGCAAAGAATAGAGTCCAATATCTTTGGTACAAGCTTATTTAAGCTAGTCGAATTCTTTGAACTCGCTCCTAGTTATTTCAGTGCGGTTACATGTATTTATAATCTCCAATGGCTGGTAGTCTAGCTACCTAACTGCAATAAATAATCAGTGTGGTAATCATTTGTGAATTTATATATCTTGTAGTTTGAGTGGGTGAGGTTGTGTGTGTGTGTTTCACTAGCAAGATTATAGTCCTTGTGTTTTGTACAGTGGGTTGTTGACCAAGATCAACTGAGATGATGTGTATTTGACTGGGCTCTTCTACTGTCGCCTCACAGATTTAGGTCGACTCACAGCACATGATATGGCTTTGAAGGTCAATTTTCGAGCTGCATCAAGACTGAAGGGCCTCAGTTAGATAATCTTGGTTTCTGAAGTTCGCAGTTGTCGGACGCTGAGACCTGCTGGTCGTGAAGAATGACGGAAGAGGTAACCCGGACATTCTGGTTACTGTAGACTTGTCTGGTATCTAACACCACCGTTGCATATCGTGTTCGTGGGTTCAATCTTGACTACCACTTGCTTGCTAGCTCCGTGAACCACCATTGTGATCGGTTTTTTAGCGCTTACCGTTCCTCTAGCGGCATCTCCCACGGCCAGTGGTTTGTTGTGTCGAACTTGGATTTGAGGGGATTTCTTAACCGATGGTCTTCAGGGTGTCAGTAAACTTTCCTGTCTAACATGTGCTGAGTCCATAGTTACCTTTAGTGAAGGTGGTTGACGTTTTGCTACTATCCGCCCCTTATACAGGTGAGATAGCTTGGCTGAATCCATACTTCTTCCCAGCATTGTACAGGATTTGCCTCACTGTTTTTAATCAATGGATTTTCTACTTTCCAGTAAGCCCTTCCCCAACACTGCGAAATTAGATGTAATCAGGGGGTTTTGTTTAACATCTTTGTCCTCCATTTACAAAGTTTTGGGGGCCGTGCTTATGCCAGTTTCCTTCCAAGCACTCAACCACTCCTCCTTACTATTAACAGATGTTGAGGTGTTAGGAACTTATGGTAATTTTTCTGGTGTATAAATTCAGGTTGTTGCTCCCATATTTGTGAGTTTGGCTGAGCCCGTGTATGATGAAACTGGCATTCTGGCGGGAGTGGATGTGATTATTTTCGATGAAGTCTTATGCTTCACCTTAACTAGTTTCTTTGGTGTGCGTCGTGGTTGTCTGTCAGCAAGGTGTAAACGTAATACGTATATTTGGAAGGATTTGGATATTCCAATATAGTATCAAGAAGGTAGATATCCTTGGTTATTTGTGGAAGATCACTGAGACCACATGACAATGTCCAACATGTGCATAATATTTATTATGTTTTTTTTCATTATTATGGCTTGTAAAATGTTTTACCTGCATTCAGTGTTGCTTTTCTGTTGTGAATACTTTCTGTCTTGGGTGATTAAATGCTCAGTGAAACACAGTCTTCACGTGCAGAAATGACTCCAGAAATATCTGAAGCATTTTAAAGATTTGCTCATTAAGTTCTTCACTGCCAAGTCCTCTGCCGGACAACAAAATACCTTGCTACAAGTGCTCGTATTTGTAAGTAGCTATTTAAAATTTGTGTATTGAATTCAGGATTGTGTACTGAAGGCAGAAGTCCCTTTCTAGTCACTAGTATTCTGTAGAATCAGTCGATTAAAGTTTTTGACAGTATTTCTTTGGGCAAGAATTGACGACCCGGTGTGAAAACTTGTATACCACAGGTACTTTGTAAGTTGTTGGTTTTTGTACTCTTCTGCTATATCCTATGAGTTGTTTATCTAGTAGGAAGAAAAAGAGAGGGTATATCAGGTCAAAAATCATTTCTTATTATTCTATGCATCGGAATCAAATCATCTCTTAATCTGCAGTGAGCCATAGTTGAGTGGTTTTGCTTCTTAAGCCACTCCGTGCACGGCAAAAGCTAGAAACCTGGAACTGCGTAGTAAGATGCGTCCTTTCTCAAAGATATCGGATCCACCTTTTAAACAGAAGCTTCCAGAGGGAATCAAGTTTTCAAGTCTGGATCTCACTAAGGTTGTGTATACTTTGGTGAATAGAATACTGTCCAACTTGGTAATAGTCCATCTTAAAACCCTTTGTGTTCTGTATCTCTTAAATGCGACCTTGCGACAGTGGGTTTTGGTCTCAAGATAATGGCTCACTGTGATCATATGAAACGGTAAATTGGCTTTATTCTCTAAATAAATCAATTTGTTCTGTTGATGTTGTGAGATGTAAACACACGTTCGGTTTTTTACTGATTTGTGTCGAGCAATACCTAATTCACTACACTTAAATCTGTCTATCAAACCACAAACGAATAAGATATAAACCAATGCATTTTCTATAAATTTCTATCGGTTGGTCCTGGATTCGCTAGTAGATAATAAAATCGTTATCTGCAGTTCTTTCTTCTGGTTTGCGTCCAATTGCATCAGTCTTCGTTCCATTATAACCGATAGTTTATTTACAGAATCCCTCTAAAGCAGTACTTTTTCAGGAAGCTTTAGCATAATTTAAAGGTCCTTCATAAGTTGTAGTTTCAAATAATCTCTTCCTGAAGTTCATATCATATATTATAGTTTACTTTGTGACGGGCTACCATTACCTACCCATACTGACCATACCATAAGTTCAGTTAAAAGGCCAGCGATTGTGTTCTAGCCTCTGAAGGGCCAACACAAATTAGTCACAGACTAACCAGTCACATCTAATACCTGTCGTATGTCCTCAAAGACAAGTGACCCCTATAAACCTATGATATTTCAATCTGATATTGCAAATTTAATTTGGGAAGTACTCAGTCCCACATGCTGGATAATCATGATTTTGTTGTTATTGATTTTAGTCATTTTACTCGGGTGTACGTAAATATATGTCGAGGATTAACCACATTTATGATATTACTGAACGCAAGTGTTCTTGTTTACCTGAGAATTGTAATGAAAACATGTGAAATTTATTCACTTCGAATTCCCAGTTAGCTTCCAAAAACTTATTTGGTTCAGAAAACCCTCTATCTTATTGTGGCTCTGGACTGAATGATTTCAGCTTCTATGAAATTTCAAAAACGTCTTGAAGGTTACGAGCAAATGTAGCTGTCAACTTGACAGCGATCATTTGGCAATTTTTAATATGATAGTTGTCTTAAATGAATCCCCAAAATCAATAACCTTGTTGACCGCATTAGCTTTAATGCATTTATAGATCACCAACGTAGATGACCTATGCCGAAATCATTGGAGGCCTACTCGAGTTAGACGTGAATGGTGTGACAAACTAGCTAACCTCGAAGTCACACCTCGTGGTCAGCACCTTACGTGGACTACCCCATTGACGTATCAAGGTACCATAGATGCTTTGAAGACTGTGCAACACAGAGGACGTTATTACAGAAATATATTAGTTGAAGTAGATACAAATGAAACTAAGATCACTGCCGCATGGGTCAGTCTACGGGCATACGATTAAGTGATTAGCGCTGGTTGTCCTTGACCTTGACGAGGATCGATGATTTGCTCGATAATCAATGACTCAACTGCAGGATGATTTTGCTAGGGCTTAGCGGAATATCACTGACCTTACAGATTCATCCAGCTGAAGGTGCACAATCATGAATCCACACCAAATCACGAGTGGGTACGCCGTTCCTCACATCTCTTACAACGCTAGCCAGCTTAGACTGAATACCCATCGATAAATCGGTATTCTGTCAAGCATATCTTCAAGCCTTCTCGTTTCTGATTTCTGAATTGATTGCACGCTCCAATCATAAAAGTTGTTACTGGTTAAGGTGTTGTCAAACTCCAGATACTTGTGGAATGTTTAGTAGTGAGCACGACGTGATCTGATACACCTATTCGTAGACTATGAGTCTGTTCCTCTATAAAACTTTATATACCATATTTTTACTTCAGTTTTTACATATTGTGACACATATTTTGGAATTTTTGGATACTCCTTTCTCGTTCATTGCTACACTTTACATTCATCATAGACGAACAGACTCCTAAATTATTTAAGATCAAGGCTATTTCGTCACTCATTTCAGCTAATGCCATTTTTATCCGACAATATCGAAGCCTGGTTCTTCTACTTAGAAACTGACTTCTCCGATCACGGTGTGGCATACCCACGTGCACAGGTCCTCGCGGTGGTGGATACTTGATAAGTACAGCGAAATATACCAAACGCAACTGAAATTGTTATGTGTAATCAACAATGTTACACACCACATCACGACTACAGAATCACCTGTATTCTCGAAAGCGCGTCGACTAGCTCCCGAAAAGCTGCGTTTGGCTAGAAACGAATCCAATCATATGATAGACTTATGGATAATTCGGCCATGAAACAGCTAATGGGCATCTCCCGTGCATATGGTCCCTAATAAAAACAACAGCGACTGGCTTCCAACTGATAACTATCGGCGGTTGAGTACAAATACCATTTCTGATCGTTAACCATGGTCTGACATTCATGATTTGACAGTTACCTTGTAAGTTACATCTGTTTTTTTGGAAAATCGACTTGGTTAAATCCTATAACCGGATTCTCATGGCTGCTGACGACATGGTTAAAACAGTTATGATCACACCTTTCGATCTCTACGATTTTTTGCGCATGCCTTTCGAGTTCAGAAATGCCGCACAATCTTTCCACAAATTCATCGATGACGATTTTTCGGGCTTCAAGTTCATGAAAGTCCACAAAGGGAATTTTATTTCTAGCATCTGGACCTGGTCTTCGAATGACTGTAGAAGCACGGCATTAATGTAAACATCCAGAAATGTCAAATCGGCACCAACTCTTTAGATTTGCTCCGACGAGTATTGATGCTCAA